ACTAGTTCAGCTATTATGGTACTAGCAGGGGATATGAACGCACAAGTAGGGTGTATGACCTCTTCAGAAGCTCAGCTGGGTGGTAATTATGGCTTTAACTCTGAACGGACTGACAACGGTGTGCGTCTGCTGCAACTGTTTACGGAGCATCAGTAGTTTCTTAGTAGCACTGCTTTTAGACACAGTGGGCGCCGAACTGAAACTTGGCGTCCTCCTGTAGCTGGCCAGCGACGGACCCAAATTGATCACATAATCATAAGTTACAGATGGCGTGGTTCCATCCTGGATTACAGCTTGTACTGTAGTACCTGCACCGACTCTGATCATGCCATGGTACGCTACTTTTTCCCCATGAACTTTACCGGGAAGCGCACCAAGCGTCCCCTCCGATTGGCAACTGAGACATTGTCTCAGCCCACGGTCAGGCAAGCGTATCAAAACGCACTGCGTACCGAACTTTCGCTGTCTTGTAATGGTGACACTGAGCTTCAGTGGAATAGGGTCTCGGCCACCATGCACTATGCAGATCATCTGCTTGTGGCACTATCCTTTGTCACCCCACCAGTCACTGGGTATCCTAGAGGTCGGTGAACCTGTTGGAATCTAGAAGAAACCTCCCGGCTGGCTCTGAGCACAAGGTGACCAGACGGGCTATTAGGCGTGAACTAAAGCGGAACCTACGTGCTAACAAGTAAGCTTGGTGGATTATTCGGGCTCAGGAAATGCAGGAGGCAGGAGCAGTAGGCAATCACCGGAAGCTCTTCCAGCTAATGCGCACCACTGGTCCCAAAATACCAGGCATCAGAGAGACAATCAGAGACAGTGCGGGTGCGCTGATACACAATAAGGAGCGCCGTATGGCTCTTTGGGCGGAACACTTACAAGATCAGTTCAGCTGGCCCCCTGCTCCCGGACCTCTTCCTACTCAAGTGATGCAGGAGGAGCCATGGACGGTTAGTTTAGAGCCTCCGTCTGAGGCCAAGGTCCGAAACGCGATCACAGCCTGTAATCGTTTTCCTGCCGCTGGCCCGTATTCCCTCCCACCTGCAATATTTAAGGATGGAGGTGAGGTTCTCTGCAAAGCACTGACCTCCTTATTCGAAAGTCTCTGGAAGAAAGAGTGTCCCGATTAATTGGATCGATTCGATTATAGTGGCAATCTACAAGAAGGGTAGTCGCACAGACTGCTCTAACCACAAGGGTATTAGCCTAGCGCCAGTTGTGACAAAAGTTCTGGCCTCGATTATCGTTTGTCGCCTCACTGCGGAACAGGAATCGCGGATTAGGGAAAAGTGGACTGGTTTCCGCCCAGAATGTGGCTATACAGACCATATATTCACTTTGCGGCAGGTGCTAGAGCAGCACCACGCATACCGCACACCGATAATAACGTGTTTCTCGATTTCAAGAGGGCATTCGATTCAGTTGATCGATCGGTTCTGTTAGCAATACTTGCGCAGAAAGGTGTTCGCACGAGATATGTGTACATTCTACGTGCTCTATACTCTAACACTACAGGCCGCGTCCGGGTCTACGGTGGCCTATCGGCTAGCTTTCCGACCACAAGTGACGCTCGTCAGGGTTGTCCGATTTCCCCATTCCTGTTCAATTTCCTCGTGGATTCTATCCTGGAGTGTTTCCTTGCGGAATCTCACGATATAGACGTTGAAGTGCTGGCTGGTGAAAAATGAGTTGATCTTGATTATGCGGACGATATCATCTTGCTTTTCGATGATGTTGGGGCGGTACAATCAACCCTGAATAGTCTGTCTAGAGTGGTCCCATTATTTAGTATGCACTTCGCGCCTTCAAAACGCAGTGTTGCTGCAGGACCACTAACCACTTTATGACCACTTGACCCTTGCTAATGAGGAACTCGAGATGGTTGATCAATTCACTTATCTTGGCAGCTGCATCAGCAACGATGGGAGCATAGAAATTGACGTCAGCTCACGCACCACAAAGGCCAGAGCTGCCTTTTTGAACCTGCTTCATCTTTGGCGACAGAAGGGAATTTCCCTCCATCTGAAAGGCCATGTATACAAGGCCGCAGTGTGGGCCGGCCTGCTGTAGGGGAGTGAGTGTTTGCCCCTTCGACCTGAAGATCTGAGGAGCCTTCAAGTCTTTGATCATTGTTGTCTGCAGAGCATTGCTGGTGTTGGATGGCACCAGCGTGTCCGCAACGATGATGTGCGTAGGCGAGTACTAGGTGGTGATAATCATGCTATCTCCCTAGAAAAACAGATAGGACTGAATAAGTTGCGTTGGCTCAGGTGCGTGCTACGTATGCCTGGTCACCGCTTACCTAGGAGGGCCTTATTCAGTCTACGAGGTGCAGGGTGGCGCAAGCCTCGAGATGGACAGAAGTTGACTTGGCAGTGGGAAATGAAGTCACTGACGACCAAACTGGGTGCCGTTGTTCCGTCTCGTCTTCCGGGCTGGAGTCCACGTGACTCGCCTTGTGCTTGGCTCGAGACTTTACAGGACGTGGCTCACAGTAGACACCAGTGGCGCGTCTGCTGCCGTCTCCTAATCGGATTGCCTGTTTAAAGTGTGTTTGGTGCTGTGTTATCTGCGGGATAATGGATGATTATGATGCGTAGCAGTGAAAGCCTCAAGGAAGCTATCTCACCGATGCCGCCTTATCTTTGCACAATAGCCAGATGTTTGTGACGGTACGTTGTCTGCACAAGGTAAAGGCGCCGTGACCCTGAATGTTTGCCTAGGGCATTAAGGCTTTCAGGTAAGTCACCTTTCTCTCCTTCTTCTTATTCTTTATTTCATAGGTCATTATGGCAGTATGGCAGTGAAGCATCAGTTCAAATGACTGATGTACGATTGTTCATGATGATAATGATGACAGCCAGATCATCAAGGAATTGTTTAAAAAGTCATTGAGTTGTATTGCATGGGCAGGATACTGTCAGGTTGCCCGGGCCTAGACTGGAGAACGATTGGGGTTCTCAACCAAAGCCTTCGGTTCAAAGAGCTGACCGCAAGGCAGCGAAGTTTTGGCACTTGACTACAGAGAGTCACTTTATGGAGTAAGGAGGTACCCTTACTCCCAACCCCCAACTTGCAGGGCCAATAGATTGAGTTTGTCTGGTCTCTAATCATTGACCGATCTGGTATGAGTGGCTCTGATGGTGCAAAAAGCACCATCCAGCATAGCTCATTGGAGCATTGAGGCACACAAAACATTGTAAGACGTTAAGGTCCAGTCTCCTCACGAGAGTAGTTATTAATTCATAACTAAGCTACGCGAATTGCTGCGAAGAGTGAACAACGAAGCAGCGGAAGAATGTCTCGTTATCAACAAAAATGATCAATTGTAACGAACCCGTTAGATAGGTCAAGTTGGGAATTTTGCAAAATCAAGATCCGCACTTCAACAAAGTGAAACAATTACCAAATTCAAATAGAGGTAGGAACAAACGAAGAATACCGCGGTCGTTCCGTCCTGTAAGCGTCGTAAATTCACACTGGAGTTCAATGGTATGGTTGGCCAGCGCGCATAAATCGCACCATGGCCAACTAGTCAAAGCCCAGTCGTTCTGCAATGGCAGCCCCAGAGTGATGGCGACGTGAAGCGACAAGACGATGTGTCATTAGGTGTTAATGGGTGCATATTTAGCTTACCGGATGGGTAGCGACGTTGGGCTATCATCGTTGACGTCATTGAGATAAATAAAACGTGTCCGCTTATGCCGCTTGCCAGAACCTATGTGTTTTACAACCTCTACTTATGGTAGATCACAAGGCCTGCTACGGTGTCAGAATTTATGCAACCAAGTTCGGGGAAACATATGCAACTTCTAACGGCATTTTGAAGACAGAATGAGTAAAAGCAGAAACAATCGGGTTTCCCGGAGCGTTCCAGGGTTTGCAGACATGAAGGAAAGAATAGCTTCGACAATATTCTGGACAACTGTGTTGCCGATTCAGGTGCAAGCGATTGCTACCTAGTGTGATGTTGCGACTGAGTTTCAATAGGTGGTTGTATACGCTAATGTGCCGTGCAATCGCCCTTGGTGTCCACTAAACTCTACATGCCCTCAGATTTTACTGATGATGGGAAATGGGGTGTTCATCTGACTCTTCGAGATACGACTTTCTAGTGTCGAGTTAACTCGGGTCCCGACAGTCAGTGCTGGTCAGCGATGTCAATCACAAACTCACATGAGCGGCGGCGCCATCTCAAACGCAACATATCATGGGTCAGGGATAGGGGAACACTGTCTCAGGCGACTACTCAAGGGACTGTCAAAATAATGTTGCCTAGGACTGGTGGTCGCCATGAACAAGTTTATGCATAGGGACATTACTCATAGGAGAAAACGCTAGGGATGTTTTTGGCTGGTCGCCTTGGCAGCTTGGACTGTATTTGACTGCCTAGGCGCCTAGATGTGATGAACACTACGATGGCCTTTGGCTGACCTACCTCTAAGGCCGGGAATCCGTTACCACGATGTGCGATAACCTAGGTGAATGACGCGTAACAATGACAGGAAAGAAAGAAACTGAAGTGGGACTGGAGATGCGTTGATGTTTCTTCGCGGTGGTTGCCAGGGGGATCAACCAGCTCACTTCATGAATTCCGGCTGACTAGTCCGTGTAGACACAGCACTGATTCTGCATCTAATGAGGTAGGTGACCAGTGAGAAGCGGAATGCAGAATAGCAGCGTGCGACCTTGAGACATGTGCGCGATCATCTATTCCACCTTGCGGGTTGTTTGCTGGAAATCGATGGCGAATGACAATCGTACGTGCTTCCCCAACCTCCATACAGCTTATGTGCTTATGTTACTGCCTGTCCTTTGTGAACACCGCACCAACCTACTTTCGGTGAAGGGATTCCCAGCGTACACATCAGCTCTATAACAATTATTATGTTACCTATATATGGGGAGTACAATCGTCAAACGTGAAGAAGTGATCAGGAAAATATTCCTCTGGAAAACTGTAGTTGCAACGACATTACAATCTGCGTACTACTCACCAGGTCGTCAAGAGACTCCTCAGCGACAAATGGGATGTGCCGCATCACCTGAAAGCATACGAATGGAAACAGTTCCTCCAAAATAAGTTAACGCAATAAGGAGCTGTGACAATGATACTTCAGATGACACTGCTTATGAACTAACAGTTAAGTCGAAGTGATGAGGTTAGTTGGTAAAAACATTTCAATTGTTAACCAGAATAGGTTTGCGAACCACCAATTACAAGTGGAGGTTGGAAAAGTGTATCTTTTGACACAACTCACTTTAACGCTGTCTAGCTTGGCCAACGCTCGACGAATCCGGGTTGCTTTTCGTCTTTCCTTGTCTACGTGAATTCGATCCAACCTCGAAGTTTCCTCAGTTGATCTGAAAATAGGTCAACAAGTAACACACTCGTGGGCTCGATCCAGTCGATCATCAAGTCTGCGTGGTTACGAAAGCGCGTCAGACACATTATGAGATCACTGAACGAGAGATAAGTACGCCCAACCTCTGTATGCTGTGACTAGAAACCTTCGGGGGGGGGGCAACAGAGATAGTGTCATAGTTAGGGAGTTTCCGGATCAAAGGGCAACTTGGATGGAGTTGCCCAGAAGTAAAAACCGAACTCCACATGAGAAGAGTGTGGGTATTCTAGTCGTTACAAGAGAGATAGCTTGGATTCTACTTAGCTCCAAGAATACGAAGAAGTAGCCCATTGTCGTTGTTTGGTTTATCATTTGACACGCGCGTAGACCGGATGAGAGTAGGATAATTGTTGACAGTCACTTTTGCTCCACACTACTGTCAAGGTGCATACATGACTGTGTCATGCGTTGGCTCCAAAACAACCTGGATGTGTGATAAACCTTAGGATGATGCGGATTGGACATATAGTTTTGTGTCAGTTCCTAACTGCCTGCTTGTTTTTGATACCGTTTGTTCCTTGGCACTTGTTTAAACACATCAATTCTTTGCTTTGATGGGCTGGCCCAAGCCGTTCAAAACTGATGTCATCTCAGGGGTCTGCTTCCGCTAAGCTGTTTCCTCGAACTCAGCTGGTTGCTTCTTCCTTTTGACAATTCTCATTCGCCCGTATTATGCTTTGGTTCCTATGATGTTGGTTGGCTCCAAGATATTTCATTGGCTTTGCTTCACCCACAACTTTAACCTACTTAATGTGGACCCTGTTCTCATGCATATAACTCGGTCCTGACCTATCTTCGTGTTCTTCTTGCTGTCGTGGGGAAGTGAACAGTCAGCAGCGACACAACAATAACCAGTGTGGAGTTTTTTCACTCTGCCTTGTGCATCAGACAACGTATTTGAATCTAAGGGTGAGTAGACAGATGCTGGGAACCATCCGCCGGCAACACTACTCTTCACGACTGGTTTCGTTCTCGCTTGCGCTCCGAAGGTATAGAAGGCAGATCCGTCTCCAGACCTGCGGTCTTCAGAATGTCAATCGAGACCCCAACCCGAAGCCACAGAGTCGTCGAGAGCAACGTTGGTCACCGCGATCCATTTGTGATCGGATGCGTCGTTTGAAAGCACTCGTTGGGTGCATGGATTGCGACAAGCAATTCAAGTGCGTAGAGTCTAACATACCTCATTCTCACTCGAAAAGAGAAGGCGGGAACTAACATCTGTCCTCGGGATTCTGCTGTTTGTGTTAGTGTTTTCGTCTCTCCAATTCTCGCTCCTGTATTGCTTTTTCTTAGGCAACGCATTAAAAGATAACGGATTTTGCAACCAATGTCAAGGAAAGGTATGGATTATCTCCTCACCGAACAACCAAGACGGAAGCACGGGGGCTAGCATCTGAGAGGAGATCATCTACTCAGCTTTGGTACCTCAGCTCGGACCGCTTGTCACGACTGGTCTCGCAGTACGTATGATGGCGTACAGTCCCATGGGTGAGGGTGGCGTTTATGCATAGGCACACCAGCCCAACAATAGCATTTGCGTCTTCGTGCGTTGCTACATGCGTACGGCGCTTGTATGACCAATCAGCGAAGTGCTGCACCCGCAGCCATCGGGCGATGTAAGCGTGACATTGCTTATGATGGTTAGACTGCGACCTTTACCATCCGTTGCTGCCTTCCGTGCGCGAGTTGCTTGCCGAAAGAAAGCCAATCTGAGTGAATCCACGGAATGGCTATTCGAAGTTGTATTAGAGAGAGTAGGTGTATACCGATTGGACGGATCTGAACATACCTACCTGCCTAGTGCCCACGACATCGGCCACGTCGGAAGCGAAGGTTCTCATCCGCCAGAGTGCGGCTGCACGGTCAGTGACACTTCTGCACTCCGTGCCTTGCGTTGAGTTGGCAACTTCCTAATCCGCGTATTAGCACGTACTTTTTCCTTCTTGACGTTTTCCTCCCAAAACATTTTCTAAAGTTTTCCGTCAGTCTCGCTTACTATTGTTACGGAGATAGCGTTATTAGGAACTGCATCCACCACACTTGTGCTCGAATTATAGTTGTCTAAGTGTTGAACTGATTGATGTCTCCAGTCCATGATGGACGTATTGCATCTCACCTTGTTAGACCGCAACCACGTATGTTCATCGGTGGGAACCAGTAGTTACTTTGATCAATTGGGTACTTCACTGACGTTCCGCGGTGTGTAGTGAACCTTTCAATATTTGATAACTTAGGATTGTATTGATGTTCCAAACTTTTGAGTACTCATTCGTTTTACTAAGCGCACATCCAATAAACACTTTCTGCCCGGTGAGTCGCGTGCTACGTTGCTTCTCACTGCCCATTCCTTGTTGCCTTTATAAGGCGAGACGGAAAAGCCATGAAAACTAAGGAAGAGGGAAGCTAACGCGGGCACCAGGGATGAAAGTGGACAAAACATCTCGAGGTCTACGGAACAAGTCGGGAACGGATCACGAGAGACGAACGATATCGAGCCCACATCGACAAGAGGGCGGGCAGGGGAGACGTAGTCGTGGAGAGTCCGATTTTCTAGAGAGTTACGCCTGTGGTCACGCCTCCAGGAACCATCCAAAGGAGAGCAACCAAACCCCGTTGCACAAGTCAAGAGAATTTGAACGAATCCGATGCGGACAGAACACGATCGGCGAATGCGAAGATCCGAGGGCAAATCAATTGAAAAGACCTCGCAGGTTGTCCGTAGTAGGGTCATGAACGCGACACCGAGCGAAAGCCCAATGTGTGGTGCGCTGATCGTGCGCTTGTGTACTAGCCTGATAACCCTTAGTCCGTTGGCACTAAAGACTGTGTGTCCTTGCCGCATCGTCCTCGCTTCATCGTGGCTATCTTAAGACAAATATTCTATGGGCATAAGAATAGAGCTAGAATTCAACAAGAAAGACCCTTAAGTGTCCAAACCCATGTTCGACTCATGGCAAAAATTTCGCATGGTTCCTATTGTTTGTTCCTGACTGATTGCCGGTGAGTATACGAAGGCTGAACCAACCACCTGTCAAAGCGTTCAGCGGCTTTGCCAACTTCTGTTCAAGCGGTTTGGTCACGCATTGCAAACTTTAGCAGCTGAATATGGCACCCAGGTGGGAGTCTCAAAGCCTACTCTCCTCACGCGTTGTCCATATGAGGAGGAGACCAATTGTGTTTGCGATGCCAGAGTCGAAAAACATCTAAAATTAGTCTACCTCAAATGCATTCTAGTGAGAGAAAATGAGGTGTTTGCTTCGTGTCCAGTCGCGACACAACTAGCGATGCACATCGTTTCGACAGGCACAGTGTGTAAGCAAACATTTGGCGAAACGAACGTCGAACCGATGGACAAGCGTTGTTCACTGACGTGGGTGGTCATGGCGTATGGCCCAATTTGACCGATCTTTGAATGTGCTGTTTGCACTTGAAGATATAGTAACAAAACCGATCTTAATAACATTCTTGGAATTTCGCACCGGTTGAACTGTCCTCCCACCGCACCGGATGCGGCAGCAGTAATCAAAATGTCGATCCAAACTTAGATCGCATTTACCAGTTGAAAACGCAAGAGGCCATTCGACTTCCTCGTACGTCATGATGTCTCGATCTTTTTCTCTGATTTTGCCAGATCAATGCAGTCGACCGCGCAGCTACCAATTCTGGAAGTAGCTGATGACTAGGTTTAACGCTGCCCGGGGCCGTAAACACGGTGTTGATACTTCTCACGGTACGTTGTTCAGTTCGCCTAAATGACACCATTTAGCTGCTTCACCGCACTTTACATCTTGGGAACAGCTCTGCAAGACGCAAACTGTTTATATAATTGTGGCCCATAGATTGATGTAAGTAAAGACAGTCATTGCGAAGTATGCTAATCACCCAGTATCTGAAAACCAGCAAGCATATCGCCAAGTGTGCTGCTCAGAAATTGTGTTTACTTCGAATTCCGGGTTCATGCATACAACCTCGCTTTATTGCTGGTGATCACAATTAATCCAGTAAAACACAACGGCCAATTACGGTGTCTCCGTGACGGCAGCGAACACACCATCAAGCAAGATTCGTATACGCGAGGGACTGGGACACACTCCTCCGTAGGATCTACCACGGTATTATCGATGGCCGGTGGATGAGAGCTGATTGAATGGCTAGTAGACCTCTACGGGCCAAACCCTCCTCCCCCTCCTATCACCACAGAACCATGGCAGACATCAGTCGTGCCTAAGGCAAGCCAGAGTAAAAACTTTCACTGAAAATCATCCTGACGCTGAGCAAATCTGATGTGAAGTATTCCGGTGATTAACAGTGGATACAAGCGAACATTTGTTTTCAATAATTCCTCTTCAGGCTTGTACAATTGTATATGGAAACAAAAACAACTTGTTTGACACAACGTAAGGGTTGACAAGGTAAGTCCGGTTCACAACTACTCATCACTATCCGTTAGGTCAAAAGTGTGGCGTACACACAATTCCGTGAGTTGGATGTCGCAGTTCGGGTGGGCTAACGCAGTTTTAACGTCGGAACGAGCCGTTTCTGAACACACAACTCCAGTTCGTACAGTCGAGTCAGGATGGCCTCGGCGGATTCAAGCATATGCCTACGGACGCACCTTGATCGAGTGTCTGATGTCTAACAGATCACTTTGAATAACAGCCAAATTGATGGCATCGCTAGTGTCGGCGAGAAGGGCGGCTATGGATGAGTTGGTTGGTTTTCGACAAGCAGAAAAGAGCTAGGCTGGGTGGTGTTCCTTCACCCTGTCAGACAGGCGTCTCGTCGTTCGGCCAATGTATTCCGGAGGCTTCCTCTAAATTCAGCCCAATTGCTGCAAAATTATCAAGGATTGAATGCACCCATACGTCCCGAAATAGCGAAAGCCATCGTAGTTGTGCAACGCCGATAACTTGTTGAACGCGAAATTAATGTCCTAGAGAAAAGGAAAATGCACCGCAC